TGCGGTGCCACAGAATCTACTAACAAAGGCATGGCTGGCTACAGGGTGTAGAGAGATCACCTGGGCTGGTGGGATTGTGCCGAGGGCTGTCAGTATTAGTGAGATACTTATCTAAGCCTGCGCTGGCGCGGCAGGAGAGCTGCTATCCACGCAATTCACAAGTGCACGTGGCTCTGTTCTAGGAAGCTTTACCTGTAGGCACCGGAATTTGAACATTTCCTTCCAAAGTGAGGAGTCACGGAGACCTGACCTGGAGGATGGATACGGGGGCGGGATAGATTTCAGAGCTTGAGCCAACCACGTTGGCTGATGGGGAGATGGGAGAGGGGGAAGGGGAAAGAAAGAAGGTAGTCAAACACGTTCAGCATCCTTGGGATGCGGGTGATCGGCATTTGCACCGTGGGACCACCAACTACTGAAGAAATTTCCTTTCCTAAAGCCCTAGGATTATGTCTGTGGGTTCAGCTGGTGGCAACCCCCAAGGGCTCCCCAACCTCAAGCTCTCCTGAAAGCGGTGGCATGATCCTAGGAAATTCTCCCATCCTTCTTTCTTATTGTATGACACCCCCGCCGGGTTCTAAAGTCTGGCCCCAGCCATTAACCCAATCTCCAGAACCTCCAGTCCCCATTGTGTCATGTTCCCCACAACGGACTTTTTTTTTTTTTTTTAAGATTTTATTTAATTATTTGACAGAGAGAGCGAGCAAGAGAGCGCAAGCAGAGGGAGCGGCAGAGGGAAAGGGAGAAGCAGGCTTCCCGAGGAGCAGGGAGCCCGATGCAGGGCTTGATACCAGGACCCTGATATCATGACCTGAGCCAAAGGCAGATGCTTAACGACTGAACCACCCAGGCGCCCCTCCCACAACGGACTTTTGATGGTTTCCTGCAATCCGACTGGTGTCCCTTCCCGATCGATCTCCATATAGCCACGGTAGAACTAATTGCTACAGCGGGTGGTCAGGTACGAGGAATCTGCAGTCCCCCATCACACCTGGATTCCAGTCTCCAGAAGGTCACATTTTAGCTTTGAGGTTTTGGGAAACTCGTGCCATCATCAGCTTTTAAGGTCAATATTCCCATCCATCACGTGGGCTGTGATGAGGTTCAAAGGAAAGGTATGTGTGTAAGGCCATAGAATGGTGCAAGCACACACACAGCAAGTGCTCAATAAAGGCCCACCTGCAATTTTGTTATTTTCACCCACAAAATACTCATTAGAAGAACGCACAAGGGTACGAACGGACAAGGACAATTCACGAAGAAAGGAATTCGAGGGACTTATAAACACAGAAAAAGGGTGTCAACCTCTCTGGGCAATAAATTGCAAATTACATCAATCAGCGGTTGATGTAAGCTTTTCTTAAGAAAAGCTTAAGAGATGGCCAAACCCATAGTAAATTCCAGCTGGATCAAAGATTTAAGTGTAAAAAGGAAAAAAAAGAAACCAGAAAAACACCGAAAGTGTGGTGATTTCATAAAGATTCATCCTGGTGCAGTGATGTGTTAAGCACGTTTAAAATACCTAAGAAGATATAAAAGAGAGTGCTGAAATGTTTCACATATAAATGAGTAATCGCACCATTAAAAATAGCAATTTAAAGGAATACCCCCACAACACACAGGCAAGATGAGAAAAAGAGTGAAAAAGGAAAGGTTGATCATTGATGATGACTGCCTTTAAGGTATGAAATATAAGTGAAATCTTTTAAGAAATGACCAATATTCTCTAGAAACACGAAACAGAAAAAACAGTCGGCGTATAAAAAGAAACACACATGCGCCTGAAATAGCATCGTATGATACGCTGTCTTTTCATAATAAAAGAATTTGGACGTTAAAAGGCCGTGGAATACACATTTTCATTTTCACCTATGAATTGGTAAAAGATCAAAGCGCTGGGTGATTTGCTGCGTTGCTGGCCTGTGGCTGAGAAGCAACCTCACCCCTGGAAGAGGGGATGTGAAATGGATCCAACCTTTTGCAAGGGTGGGTGCGGCAAAATGCACCGTCCCTTTCTACCAGCCCTGTACTTCAAGGATTTTATTTTATTGGCACACTCACACATCACAAACGCAGGTGTTCACACATCAATTCGATGTGGTGGGATTTGTAGTAACAAAAGAAAACAAAACCAACCCAAACACCCAGTCGTTATTGAGGGCTTATGCCTGTGCTAAGTAGGGGTCATTTTTAAAATACTTCTCACAGTCCTGCAAAGCATGTCGTGCAGTGACTTTTATCTTCCATAGCAGATCCACCTAGCAGAGAAGTTGGCAGAGGGGCTGTGCCTGAGTTTGATCACACATTTGCATCACATGCCTGGGATTCCCCCCCCCACACACACTGCTCTGAAATTACTGGACTGGGACATTAGGGGGGCTCCATCAATCGATCCCTCCCCAGTTCCGCTGGGTGGTGTGGGATGTTTGAGGAAGTTCTGAAATCAGAGCTTCCCCTACCTTAAGCAAGAGTCTGGCTCCCTCCCCTTGCCAGCTAACTTTCTCCGTCCCTTATTACTCCCCTTCGGACAGCCACAGCCGCAGGGGAGGGAAAGGAGGAGAGGCGCCCCCCCACCCCGGGGGTGGGGGCAATCTGGATGCCGGGAAGTCTGATCACTTTCCTCCTGAGCTTCGTCTTTCCCAGAATTGCAGATAGTTGCACTCATTCCGTAGGTAGACTTTTCAGATTGCTCCTTTCGCTCAGTAATATGCCTTTATGTTTCCTCCTCCGCATCTTTTCGGGGTGGAGAGCTCATTTGTTTTTAGTGCTGAATAATATCCCATTGTCTGGATGTCCCGCAGTTTGTCCATTCACGTACTGAACACTTGCTTCCAGATTTGGGCAATTATGAATAAAACTGCGTGCGGGTTTCTGTGCGGGTGTAAGTTTTTCACCTCCTTTGGGTAAATGCCAGGGAGTGTGATTGCAGACTTATATAGTAAGAGTATGTTTAGCTTTGCGAGAAACTGCCAAACTGCCCTCCAAAATGATCCCAGCCTTCTTAATATGGTGGCTAGATCCTAAGAAGGCAAAACTGGAAGCTGCTGGTTGCAGGACCTCAGCCTGGAAGTGGCCCGGTGTCACTCCACCGTATTCTTTGGGTGAAAGCAAATCCGAAGATCAACCCAGATTCGAGGAAATGAGAAGTAGACTGACTCCATGACTTGCTGGGAGAAGTGACACGTATCTGCAGAGATGGGGGGAATGGCTGGGGATCATTTCTGCAGGCAGCCTACCAGAAAGCCAAAGCTCAAGCCTGAGAAACAGGAACTAATGTGGTTTTTAAATATTTCTATTTTTTCCCCCGGCTTTATTGAGGTATGATTGACAAATAAAGATTGTATGCATTTGAGGTTGTACAATGTGATTTTTTTTAACACGGATGATTTAATATATGTTTGCACTGTGAAATGATCACAGCCATCAAGTTAATGAACATGTCCATCACCTCACAGTTACTATCTTGTTGGATTTTTGTGGTGAGAACACTCAAGATCTATCCCCTTAGCAATTTTTTTTTAAAGATTGTATTTATTTGAGGGAGAGAGAGAGAGAGAGAGAGAGAGAGCACAGAAGGAGAGGGAGAAGCAGGCTCCCCGCTGAGCAGAGAGCCTGACGCGGGGCTCAGTCCCAGGGAGGATCTGAGATCCGGACCTAAGCTGAAGGCAGATGCTTAACCGCTTAACCCACTGAGGCACCCAGGTGTCCCCCTTAGCAAATTTTAAGTATACAACACAGAGCTACTCATTATTTCCATCATTCTGCACACTAAATCCCCCAGAACTTACTTGGCAGCCACTGGTACACTTTTTAATTATATGAGTGGGGACTTTTTAAATTCCACACATAAGTGAGACCATACAGTGATTGTCTTTCTGCATCAGGCTTATTTCACTTAGCATAACGTCCTCTGGGTTCATCCACCTTGCCCTGAGAAACGAATGTGGTTTTAACTAACAACTTGACCAAGTCTCATGTTCAGTGTTCTGGGTCTGTGAAAAGCTAGACTGCCTACCCCCAGGTTCCTTGAAAAATGTGAACAGGTGACTACACCATATGTGTGATCAAGATATGATCAGCAGCAGACCTGTGATGTGGGAGGGGCACCCTCTTGCATTGAAGATCGTTTTCAGTAGCAAGGAAATGGAAAGTTGACCAACAGTGTTTACTTTTGTTCAGAAAAGTACTTTCCTCTGAAAATAAGATATTTGGAACCGAATGTTTGCTGGCATGGTTTAGCTGCTTAGCGAAGCCATCTTTACTGGATCCAGGCTCTGCCTTTTCATCTTTGCCACCATCAGTGTTAAGGTTTATTTTTAATGGAGGTATAATTTCTACCCAATAAAATTCATCCATTTCAAGTGCATAGTGTGCTGAGTTTTATCAAATGCATAAGGTCATATAATAATACCATGGTCGAGATCTAGAACATTTCTGTTGCCCTAGAAAGTTACCCTGTGACCCTTCTATAGTTGCTCTTCCCAATCTATCCCTAGGCAACCAACCTACTTTCTGCCACTCTGGTTTTGCTTTTTCTACAATTTCATATAAATGGAATCATGTAGTATGTAATCTTTTTGTGCTTGGCATATTCCTCTTAGCATAATGTTTTTGATTCATTCATAATGTTATGTGTGTCAATATTCTGTGCCCATTTATTGCTGAGTAGTATTCCATTTATTTGTGCATTCATCAGCTGATGGGCATTTCTGTTGTTTTCAGTTTGGGACTATGATGGATAACAATGCTACGAGCATTGTGTGTGGGTCTTTATGTGGGCATGTTATCATTTCTCTTGGGCAAATTCATAGGAGTGGGACTGCAGGTCGTATGCTAGGAGTATGTTCAACTTCATAAGGAATCGCCGACCGTTTCCCCAGGTGGCCATCCCATGTTGAGTTCCAATGGCTCCATATCCTCAACAATACTTGGTCTGGGTAGTCATGTTAGTTTAAGCCATTCTAGCGATAATGTGCTGTCATTTAAATTTATACTTCCCTGTGCTTGCTTTGGCAGCACATATACTAAAATTGGAATGGTACAGAGAAGATTAGCGTGTCCCCTGCACAGGGATGACACACAAATTTGCAAAGCATTCCATATTTATGAATAAATAAATAGACAAATAAATGAATGTGATGACTAGTGATATTAAGCATCTTTTTTTAACATTCACAATAGAAGTTTATTACATATCAAACATTTTAATGTCCTTAATGTAAAAGGCAAATACCAATCTAAAAATATAAACAAAAGTCTTGGAAAGTTTATTTCATACAAATGACAAAGAATATATTAAAAATTAAGATAGAATAGAAGTAAAATACTGTTAGGCGTATCAAACTGGCAAATGTAAAGAATAATGGTAATACCCATTTTAAGGATTGGGCTTCTTGAAAATTCTTAGCACAACTTTTCCATTTGACAATTTGGAAATGAATATCAAAAGTCTCAATAATATTTTATGAAGCAGTGGTAGATCTAGAAATGTATACTAAGGAAATGGTTAAAGTATTATCAAAATATTTAAATACAAAAGTAGTCCCCAAAGATTTTTTTTAATTATACAATTTTCAATTACTTGAAAGTACAAAAATTGTTGATCAGTTAAATAAACTATTTCTCGCCATGAAATACTATGCAAGTATTACAAATGATATCGTAGAAGTTTATTTTGCTATACAAATACTTGATTACAATGTGGTCTTAAAAAGAATAAATATATTAAGATTTTATTTTATGCTAATCTGCATAATATTGGCATAGTATCTACATCTACATAGTATCTCTACATGTGAGAGTGATTATTTCTTGGTGGTAGGATCATAGTTTTTGTTTTCTTCTTTCTATGTGGCTGTATTTGATTTGGGTTTTTCTAAAATATAAATCATTCATTCTTTTCCTCATTGATTTTACATGTTCTAACATATGCCAAATTCTTACCCTTATATTTCTTATCTATTTCTGAGCAAATAATATCAGGTAAAGAAAGTCTTCCTTCATTATTTTTTATTTTAAAAATATTTCTGAATGGTGTCCAGTTCTTATTCTTCCAGATAACTTTATGGTTACTTCACAAAGTTTTTAAAAAAATTTTTGTTTAAATTCAATTAACATCTAATGTCTTATTGGTTTCAGAGGTAGAGGTCAGTGATTCATCAGTCTTATATAATAGCCAGTGTTGAATATCTTTTCATATGTTCATTTGCCATCTATATATCTTCTCTTGGACATAGCTATCCAAATTTTTGACAATTTTCTCTTTCTTTCTCTTTCTTTCTTTCTTTCTTTCTTTCTTTCTTTCTTTCTTTCTTTCTTTCTTTCTTTCTT